TTATTCGGGGACGTTGCTTATCTGCGGTACAGCACGATTAAAATTGGGATGTTGGTTACTTTAAAAACGTCCTTTATTCGCGGTATATTGTGGCCTACAGATTTTGTGACCCGCACAAATCCATATAAGGACTGTTTACTTTATCAGCATGATTGGTTCAAAAATTCCGAAGTTTTAAAGACCTTTTATATGGAATTTGAAGCAATATTTATATCATTGGAGAATAACTACCCATATTCTTATTCTGAGTACGAAAATGAACCAGTGAAAAAAGTCGGCTATGATACGAGGAGAAAGAAATTGAACAATCCTTTATGCGTCCTGCTATTTCCCTCGTAAAAGGAAAACTATCATTCGACATAAGTTTGATCAGAAAGAGTCTCGAAACCTTCTTAAAATGAACCCCTGAACCATAACTATTATTTCATTGTTTCCAATACAAGGTTTCTTACGATCACGAAGATTGTTCACATTATATTGTAAAACAAAAAACACTGAATCACAAGATATGAGTACCCCGAAATATGAAAATTCCTTGCTTACGAGGCGTATACATCACCGATTCATTCAGTTTCCCAAGAAAATCACAGCACCTCCCGATTGACGTTTTACACTCGAACGTTATATGTTTACAATTCATTTATTTTCTTTCCAAATATGTGCAAATCATAACGCGGCGTTGGCTTGCCCCTGACTAATAGTAAAAATAAATACGAATAAATTCGGTGCGAGAAATAAATATTTGACGATACGATACATCGTTGATCATTAAGTCGTGCTAATGTTTTGACGCACTCAATATAAATCAAGGCGAGACCAATGGTGATCTAGAATTCTGACATTTTTTTTTAATTACGTAATTTAAGCCACAGCCAAGAATACGTATAGAGGGAATCAAAATAGATATATATATTACATATACATGTATAATATACAGTATATTATTTTTAATTTTGAAAGAAATTATTTCGTGACACGAGAAACAAACATCACGAAAGTATTGTTCAGGGTCAACGCTTCATACATTAAAGAGGTGCATCGCCAATGCAAGCAATTCCGTCATATTGG